CTTGGGTTTCTTGGGGACTGGGATGAGGGTGGAACGTTTGAAGCAGGAAGAGACTTCAGGATGCTCCTGTTGAAGATCTGAGTGAAGACAGGTGACAGATGATCTGCACAGACTTTCAGGCAGGCAGGTGAGACTCGGTCTGGGCCTGGTGCTTTCTTGGTCTTTTGTCTTCTGAAGAGCTGGCAGACGTCTTGTTCACAGATTTTGAGTGCAGGTTGGGTGGCGGGGTCGGGGGGGTGTTGATGCCTGTGTGGAGAGATGGTCGATGTAGGGGTGGGTTGTGCGGTGGTTCTTTTCAAATCTGCAATAGAAGAGATTCAGGTTGTCAGCCAGTTGTTGATGTTGGCTCCCAGCAGAGGTGAGGAGTGGTGGCTTTCAATCTGTAGGCCTCTTCTTTGGCCTGACCGAGTCCTGGTGGGACACACATGTCCTCACAGAAGCTGATGTAGGATGTCACAGTTGTCAGTCAGTTCATCCAGGTTGTCAGCAGCAGCTTCAACGATGCTCCAGTCAGTGCAGTCGAAGCAGGCTTGAAGGTCCTCCTCTGCTTCTTTGGTCCATCTCCTCACAGTTTTAACAACAGGGGGAGGAGTAACAACCCCCAGTTGAAACCAAACTCAGGTGGTCATGACTCCTTAAGGATATATGTATCTGGAACTCCCAACTAGTCAGTCAGAATTGATGAAGCTTCTTGGATGAAAGAACTTTAAGGAACTCAAGCAAGTCCAGTTGCTACGATTAATCTGCGAGAATAACAGGCTTAGCAGATTTCAGTTTTTGCCTGTAGGCTGGGATGAGGTTGATCAGGCAGTGATCAGAGAGTCCCACAGCTGCTCTGAGGACCAAGTGACAGGCATCCTTTATGGTGGTGTAACAGTAGTCCACAATGTCACTGTCTCTGGGGGGGCAGGTTATGTGTTGTCTGTATTTTGGCAGTTCACGGGTAAATTTCGCCTTATTAAAATCCCCAAAAATAAGAATATGAGAGTACGGGTGTTGCTGCTCAGTGTCAGTCACCTGATTGGCCAGGAGCTGCAGCGCTGCACTGATACAGGCCTGAGGAGGGATGTAAACACAAAGGTTTGCAGTTGATGAAGAGCACTTGCAAGTTAGGACAGCAATGCTTCTTCATCATTGTAATGTCCATGCACCATAAACATAATCCGCTGCCTTTCATTTTCCCCGTACACTCTGTGCTGCTCTCAACAGCTGGAAGCCCGACAGATGTAGCGCTGTGTCCGGATGCCTCCGTTCAGCCAGGTTTTTGTGAAACACAGAGCACCAGAGTTGGAAAAGTCCCTGTTAATCCATGTTAGGAGCAGCAGTTCCTCCGTTTTGTTGGCAAGGGAGCGGAGGTTTGCCAGGCGAATGCTCGGCAAGGCGACTTTGAATCCTTACTGACAAAGCGCTTGGGACACTTGCAGAGGATAGCTGCTCCTCCAACCAAAATGTCCAATGAAGTCTGCAGAAAAACATCAGGACTGTGTTGCCTGATGTTAAAAGTTCTTTGCTGGTAAAACTAATATGTGCTGAGAAACACTGGAAAAACTAACACAAACTACCAAGTACTGCAGAGCTCTGCACCGAGGCAGCCATCTGCGGCGCCATCATGGTGATTTGTCCCCATCATGATGGTTATTAAAGTTAAATGGCAGACAATGTGTTCCCATTTCTCCAAAATTTTGTAGGATGTCTCCAACAAACATTTACTTCTATGTAAAAAATACACATCTACATGTGTAAAGCAATGTGTAATACAAATACTTCAAATAATGTAGTTGTTGTTTGGGCAAGGTGACATGGCCAAAAATGTTTATCACGATAAAATGAAAAAATTTGCAATAACGATATAACTGACGATATCATTGACGCAAGACAAAATACTTCAAAACTGCACAACTTTATTGGTGCAAATTTTAAAAAAGAACAATTTATTTTCTATTTAGCAAGCAGTTGTTTTTGATGTGCATTAAAGCTATATTGTACCAAAATCAAAAGTGCATAAGTTGTAAATGGCTTGCTGACAATTTGTTTAATCAAAAGGCATTTTAAATTAAATGAGCTTACAAATCCTGAGCATAACAATGCATAGTATCCACAAAAGTAAAGTAGAGTTGCTTTGCAACATAAAACTTTGCAGCCAGTTTCTTTCGTCTCACCACCACGTCAGTTGGGGAGGGGGTGTATCGCAGCAGGTGAGTATTTCGGACCGACCGGGTGGAAGTGGGCAGGACGCACAGGCAGTACTTGGCTGCTCATGCTAGTTTAAGATAGCGGTCACAGTTCTGTTTCCACCACTGGGTGCTGGCGGCGGTGGGCGGGGGGAGAGTAGCGGCGGGTGGCAGTCGACTATTCGGATCTCAGAATTGCTATCCGGACACCACCACAACTACCGCATTTTCCGAGGTCCAGCCCCAGTCGATGCACTGCATTCCCACCATGCTTCTCGCTCCATGTGCATTAGACTGGACGAAAGCAACGGCACTGCGCATGCACGTTTCACTCAAATTTTATTGCGATATTTCAATTTCATATCATCCCCTAACATTACACCAGTATTACCGTGCACGGTATGATATGGCCCAACCCTAGTTGTTGTGGTAACAACAGTCGTTGAACTAGTGGTTGACAGAGTGTCATTTCAGGGCAGCTTTTCAGTTGAACTTAAAGGTACCCTGTGGTACTTCTAACAACTATGAGCCCTATGGAGAAGTGTTTGGGCCAGATGGCTCTTGTTATGTTTATGTGTGGAACTCACATGTGCATAAGGACGATGAACATGCTGTAACACTTGGTGATTTGATGCAATTTGTTTTTATCAACTATTGATGGCAGTTACCTTCCAAGAGCTGTAGCAGTGCACAAAGCACGGGTCATCACGTAAAAAAAACATGCATGTAAGCAATGCAGGTTTCTCACAATATAAACAATAAGCTTTGCATTTGAGGTTGAAAATGCACCAAACATGATGCTGAGGCTTCAGTGATATACAAACGTAATTTAGTGAGGAGCACAGCGTGTAAGCAACTGCTTAGTTTGAAGAAAACTCTGCAATTCTAAATGTAAATCATTTCAGGGCATAAAGGTAAATTGATGAGCCATTACCCCAGACTACAGTGCATTAGCCTCCATAATTTGCTGGTGATTGAGTCCAAATTTCAGAGCTCCCATCACTGGTGTTTTGAAGACATTTTTGTGTTGCATTACTTAAGTTTAGATTCATCACTTCTTGTGTGGAGAAGATTTCCAGAAATGACCACAAAGAGGTGGAATTCATTCCCTCTTATCTGTGCCTCCATTTTATTGTATAGCTTTGAACACAAACACACACACACACACACACACACGTTTATTTTTCACTGCGGTTTGGAGCCTTGGACCCTGGCAGACAGGTGACTTTGTTTGGAAACACAGTACACAGGCTGGGAGAGCTGGATGAAGTGGAGGGGGGCTCTAATCATTATTATGCTTTCCGTAGAACAGTGGCGCTCCGCATTTTTTTGCTGTGTTCCCGAGTTGGTCGGCACATTCCGCTGGCATTGTTATCCGGCCTGTTTCCTGCGGCCGGCGGCTTTTGTCAGCCTCTCCCCCATTGTCCCGGCTTCCTTTGTTCCCTGGCTCCAACAATGGCTTTTTTCTGCCTCTTTATATATATATGTGCACTTTTTGCCCTTGTGTGTTCTGTTTGTTTTGTTCTGCTGTCTGCTGTGTTTTTTTCCCTCCTGCTGCACAGCTGGGAAATAACACACACACATAAACACAAGCCTGTGTTGATTTGTTCAAGTTCACTGTGGTTCAGAGCTCTCTCACTCAACCTGTCGTCTCTTCCTTCTTCTCCCTTTCCCGCTCACTGAGGTATTGTCTGTCTTCCTCCTCTATAACCTCCCATTATTCTCTGTCACATAGTAGTGCAGACGTACACACACTCTCGCAGTACACTTTGCAGTAACTTTAACACCTCCAACTAACCTTTAAACCTTGACTTCAGAAGTCACCGTAAACAATGGACTTCAATTGTTGTCATGAACCAGACCCTAAAATTCACACGTTAGACGCCAGCAACACCCACAACGGAGACTTTATTGACGGTTAACATGACAGCCATCAAAAGAATGGAAAAGTAAAACCTAGCAATTTGAATGTTGAAATTTTGATAGAAATTCGGTCATGTAACTGACAGTGTAATTTTCTCCAGAGATTTAAAGTCCCCAGTGGATGTATTGTCATTGATTTGAGGATCCCTCAGCCATTTCTCTTTGTCCAACGTCTACGAAACAGGTGGCATTCCCATCAGCCTCAACTAATAGCCGTGCTAGCATAGCTGCTGACTCCTGTCAATGCACGCCATCTTTTGAAAGTTCTTTTTAAAGCACTGTTTTAACGTGTTTGCTATATTTGGCAGAGGTGATAAACCTATCGGGCTGCAAGGTGGCGCAGTTGGTAGCACTGTTGCCTCACAGCAAGAAGGTCGCCGGTTCATCTTTCTGCGTGGAGTTTGCATGTTCTCCCCGTGCAGTGTGGGTTCTCTCCGGGTTCTCCGGCTTCCTCCAACATAGTCCAAGTCCAGTTGAGGTTAATTGGTGATTCTAAATTGTCCGTAGGTGTGAATGTGAGTGTGCTTGGTTGTCTGTCTCTGGTTGTCTGTCCTGCGATTCAGCAATTTCCCTGAGGTTTCCACCAAAGGGATCAATAAAGTTCTATTCTATTCTATTCGATAGACTGCCGACCTGTCCAGGGTGTCCCCTGCCTTCACCCTAAGTCGACTGGGAAAGGCGCCAGCCCCCTGCGACCTTAGTGAATGAAAAAAATGATCGTGGATTATAATTTTGTCAATGCAATAAACTAGAAGACAAAGAATGCTGCAGAAGTTTCCCCCTTATAATTAATTTGTGTTATCTTGATTTCTTCTTTTCAGTGTATTCGAGAATTGACAAAATAGCATAGCAAGTGCCTCAAGCTCACAGTCACTGGTATTGTGTGTTATCTTTGTCTTTCAACAGAATGGTTGAGCCGGGCCCTCCAGCGCTGCACCTCCTTCCCCGTGGGGATGTCAACATGGCAAGTGCTGGTGTCAAAGTAGAACAGGAGGAGTCCAGTAGAACAGATGGAATCAATACTAAAGCTGTACCTCTTAAGACGTCTCCATCACGTGACTGGTCAGGAAATCAGCTGCTCGAGGCCCGCCAACTGACCCCACCACTCTCCCGCTCCCCTTCGGTAAGAATTATTACAAAGAGCATGACAAGAAAACGTAGGCCGTGTCACAGATTGGTATGTCTGCTTTTCCTTATCCTGGTATGATGTCAACTGATGTTTTGTTTTCTCTGTACCCGGACAGGAGGGCTCTCCAGGTAAGGAGCTACCTCACAGGCAAAGCCCCATTGGAGTCAAGGAGGCTAAGATGCACGATCAATCAGAACAACAATCCAACTTCAAGGAAGGTCTGTCTAAACTCTTAGCATTGTCTCTCACCTACTTTCCTTTCTACAAAAGCAGTCACATGTAAATCTGCAAAATAAGATGTCCTAGAATTTATTGGTAAGGGACGGTTACTTTGGTGCAGTTTTAAAAATGCAACAATACTCTGTGAAGTTAAAGATGTGACTTCTTTTATTTAGACTTGGCTTTGCAGATTGAGTGTTCATTCTGTTTATGTATTTGGTAAATGGTTTGCACTAATATAGCACAACCTCAGTGGTACTCAAAGCGTTTTACAATGTTTTCCACTCACACACATTCCAAAGAACCACCATCGGGAGCAACTTCGGGTTCAGTGTCTTGCCCAAGGACCCTTCAACATGCGAAGCGATTAACAATCAAACTGCCAACCTTGCAATTAGTGGACAGCCCGTCTAACACCTGAGCCACAGCCACATGTATAGATGACAATGTTATTCCATCTCACATTATCAGGACCCTCCTGCTCGACCATCTCTGATTTGATTTCAAACACTATCAATATTTACTATCAATATTTAAAATGGTATCTGTGAAATGTTCGATTGATATACCAAGTACCTTCTGAAAGAATTATTTTTTTCAATTGCCTATTTACCCATTTTCAGCAGGTTTGGATGACAGCATCTCAGGAACTATTAAAGATAAAAGCCTGACACTTTCATATTTTCATTATGCCATTGCAATATTGGATAAGTGAACGAAATATGAAAAAATGTAAGCTGTTGTGAAAAGTACTATCTTTGAGAACACATTCACAAAAAAATATATATAATGCAGGAGTTAACTGGTGATGTTTTCTGAATTATATGTAGTTGCATGTCACAATAATACAAAACAAACCACATTAATTCACTTAATTTAAATGTAATTTAAATTTTAATGGAATTACTCAACTGTATTTTTTACAGTGGGTTGTCTGCACTGCCTGTCACCTCAGAAATGTGGTGGAAATTTGAAATTTGTCCACATCTCGTCTGCTTTTTCTTTTTATGACAAATTAAGTTTAAAGAAAAGCAGCAGTGTGTTTAGCTTCCTACATGTCTGTGCATCATAAACAAAAGCAGCAATGTGAATAAAACTCCACTGCAGAGTAAGCTGTAGGCTCTGTGTCAGTTAGATGTGTTTTTATTTTGTATACAAGTGTCGTATAGGTGATGACGTATGTGTCCTGAAGTGTATGTAATGTTAATGTGATGTTAACACTGGCCAGCAGAGAAGTTAGGAATATCTCCACACAACTGACCAATCATGCTATGAAGTGATTGTTAATGTTGGACTGTTGATTTTACTATGAAAATAAGATCCAAATTGTAATGATAATATATTTAATTAAATCCATTATGTTTAAAGCCACTAATCATCTAAGTGTTCAGATTGCGTACATTTTGTATACCGACTTGTAATCTGATCTGAACGTAACGTGTACTCACTGTTTGCCTCCATATTTATTGAATTTAAAACAGCTGTATCTGTGCTTTCAGCTGTAATTTGAGGGTATTCAAATCCTAATCAGGTGAACGGTGTAGGAATTGCAACACATTTTATATGTGCCCTCCACCTTTTTATGGGACCAAAATAATTAGACAATTGGCTGCTCAGCTGTTCCATGGCCAAGTGTGAGTTTTTCCCTCATTGTTTCATTTCCAAGGAGCACATTAAAGGTCTTGACTTCATTACAAGTGTGGTGTTTGGAATCTCGGGAGGTCAACTCTCAATATGAAGAGCTGTCACTATCGGGAAAACAAGCCATCATTAGACTGAAATATCAAAACAAACCCATCAGAGAGATAGCGAAAACATTAGGTGTAGTGAAATCAACTGTTTGGTGCGTTCTTAAAAAGAAAGAACACACTGGTGAGCCCAGCGACGCCAAAAGACCCAGAAGACGAAGGAAAATAAGTGTGGTGGATTACAGAAGAATCCTTTCCCTGGTCAAGAAAACTCCTTCACAACAGTTGGGCAGACCAAAAACATTCTCTAGGAGGTTGGTGTATCTGTGTCAAAGTCAAGACTTCAACAGAGGGTTCACAAAGGTGTTAATCATTGGTGAGCCTCAAAAACAGGAAGGCCAGATTAGAGTTTGCCAAAAAACACCTAAAAGAGCCTGTGCAGTTCTGGAACAACATCCTATGGACAGATGAGACAAAGATCAGCTTGTACTAAAATGATGGGAAGAGAAGAGTGTGAAGAAGGGAAGGGACTGCTCAAGATCCAAAGCATTGCACCTCATCAGTGAAGTATGGTGGTGGTAGTGCAATGGCGTGTGTGGCTGCCAATGGAACTGGTTCTTATATATTTATTGATTATGTGCCTGCTGACAAAAGCAGCAAGATGAATTCTGAAGTGTTTCTGCTCATATTCAGCCAAATGCCTCAGAACTCATTGGATGGTGCAGGTGGACAATGAACCTGTTGTAGTTGGGGTGGTAGTGGAGGTGGAAGGAAGGACCAGAATGCAGGCTTTGAGCTCTCAAAAGGAAAAAAAAAATGTATTCCACAGGTCAGCAACAGAGAAAAGGTAACAAAAATAACAGTCCCAGCGTGATACAACTATATTTCTTCTGTGGGAAAAAGGTTTGGAAAAATTATTCATAGACAATCCCCC